GTGTTACAAAACATAAACAATAGAAAACAATACAATTCATGGACAAAAGGTGAAAAAAGGTGAAGAAGCAAAATGGAATTGAATTGTACATAAGAACACAGATCACCTGATACTGGGTACTCTTCTTTGCACATATAACAAAATATTACTTTTTTTGTGTATCCCATAGACAGAGTTATGATTTTTTTAACTGCAAAAAAGAAGGAAAAAAATAAAAATATTTTTCAGGTAAAGTATTTGGTTGCTAAGGAACTGAGAATGGTTAATATGTATTTAAACATTGCTAGTTTAGCAGTATTTAAACAACAAATTTTAATTTTAAATATTTAAATACTACAGAAGATAACAGATAAGATTTTAGGTTTACTAAATATAGCATTTTCTTAATATTTTATTTTATTAACTCGTTAGAATAATTATTTCTGCTCTTATATATTGTTTCATTTAATTCAACCATGTAGTTTTATCAGAAATACATAAACAAATGCATTCTAGCTGCTACCTAACACAAAGTGATACCTGTCCTAATTAAAAGGAGTGTGGGCTTAGATAACAACTTTTCCTTTCAGGATTTCAGTAGAGAAACTAAGCTAGAAATACATACTATCTATCAGCTTAATTAAAATGAATATACCACAAGAAGAAAAACATATAAAGGTTTCCCATAGTAAATTATGACAAACTTCTCATTTGATGTGATTATCATACATATCAAACACAGCTGCAGGTCATGGAGAAAAATACAGTTCAACATGAAGACAAATTCAGAGCTAAGTAAGTTAGAGAACGGGATCAGAAAAGAATGAAACACAGGCACATATAATGAGTGGGCAATCTGGTTCACCAACGGGGGCTCAAATGATCCACATTTATTTATTTATTTATTTATTAGGATTTTCAGACTGCCACACACACATAATTCTCTGATTTACAAGAAAGAAAACCTCCAAAGTACAATAATAAAATAATCAATACAACTGTCTTAACACCAGAGTGCATAAACAATTCCTAAGGCATTATCCTTACTAATTAAAATAATGCATGGTTCCAGATCCCCACATCTTGAGCAGAGTTGCTGATAGGAAAGGAGAAGACGTGCAACTGCTAACTCCAGATTTTTGTATTGCCACTTCCATTTGGGTTCCCACCTCCATGAAAACAATGACTAATGGCTGATCCAAGGCCATCAGCTTTAGAAATGGAGAACATCTAGCCCTTTTTTGCATCTTGACAAAGGTGAGATTATAAAAGATGGTTCCCTTTATTTGGTACAGT